TTGGAGATAAAATGATAAGGGTGTATCTCTTCCTTCATTCAAAAACTTGTAGAACTCTATCTCTTATCTAACCAATTTTCAGTTTTGATAATGTCTATCATTGGAGAGAAAATTTTGGGAAATTGATTCAACTCCTTGCCTATAAATTGGAAACTCTCGTCGTCAATTCTACACACCAAAAATTCACTTAGCTTTGTGCTATTGAAGAAACAATAGCCGGTTCTCTGCTATGTGTTTGAAACCTTCTCCCTGCATTGTGCAATCAGCTTCTGTTCTTCCCTGCCTTGGTGTACTCTTTTGTTTTCTCCGGGTTTGGTGATACGTGTGTGGTTGTGGATCAATTTTTCTGAGCCTAAACGAAAGGGGAATTCCTTGTTTTTATTGTTCTTCATATTTTAGATTCTTAGTTTGATTTCATTGATTTATTGTAATTCCATAGCCTAATTCTTTGATTTGTTCAATTGTAGGTGGAATTAGAATTACAATAATGTGTAAGTGTTTTTGTCAACATCAACCCATTGTCCGATAAGTTGATACTCGGTTTTTAAAGCTACTCTTCAATTTTTATTGTAGTTTTTTAGTTCCTTAAATTCGTTAAAATTTTCATCATAACATTCATATGAAACTTTATGAAGTTAGGTTTTTGCTTCTCAACTTGGACCATTGGTCATAAATTTAAAATGATGAATAGTTTCGGGAGAACCTAGTGACATTTTAATGGATTTAGATGCTTTTTGTCCTTGGATACGAACTTGTACAATTATAAGATTGAAAGGTAACTTGGTTCATTTTTTAAAGACTGTGAACCAAATTATTACTTAAGCTATAAGTTGAGGACCAATGCTAAAATTTTCTTTCACGTTACTATCCTTGGAATTTCTCGTAGGATAATAAAGAAGTAAATGAAGGTGGTTGTATAGCATTACCAACATTGTTCTGCATTAAAGCAACCAAGTGAGCCTTCTAGATTTTTAAAGCCTCAAAGCAATCTTCTTGTACAATTCAAGGGGACAGTCAGGGGCAGACCCAGCTAATTTATCTTGTGGGGTCAAGTCCAAACCCGTTGGTAAATGCATACCTTGTTGATGGAGGAGTGGAGAGGTCTCGTGAGGGCCGTGACTCCTGTCCCTTAGCCCAGTAGCTGTAGCGATAAGTAGGGAAGATCGGAAGAGGAAAACTAGTAAAGAGAGGAGAAGAGGAAGACTGGAGACACGAGTGTCGAGAATAACGGTGTTGAAATAGATGTACACTATAATGTTGGTGGGGCATTTCACCGATCACCTTACGGGAGTAGAAAATTGCCAATAAATCAAATACATTGGGAACTTGATTGAACCAAAACTTTTTCATCCTAATTCTACCAATAACACCCATCAAATCTTAATCCCAACCTCCCCAGTCAAAGTTAAATCCAAAAGTATAGAAGAAGAGATCAAAATAGGAGGAAAAAAATTGAATTTTGCGAAGAAATCTTACCTTTATTGTGTTTTGGATTTGAAGTTTATGTTATAAGTGTGAACTTTCATCCTTTGATGTGTCTTAGGTGGTTGGGATGATCGGGTATGGGATTTCAAATTGACTTTGGGTGTTAGAAGTTGGGAGAATTGAGAGAAAATCGTGAATTTCGTAATTTGACTATAAGGGGAAATGGGGAAAGTTAGGGGTTTAAACCTCTCATCGCAGAGCACTATGCATGATTTACCCATCGACTTCGTGGAGAAGAGGAAGACTGGAAAAGAGTTGGAAAAATGGAGAAGACTGAACTAAAGAGAGACAAATTCACCTTGGAATTGGGGGAATATTAGGTCAAGGTATTAGTTGGGATGGGTAAATAAATGGATTATGGATTAATGGGTGCAATTGGATTTGGGCTTGTGAGTTGTGGACTGGGCTCTGGGCTGCTCTTGGGTAACTGCTTAACTGGGTCTGGGTATTAGCTATAAAAAAATGTGGGGTCATTTGACCCTATGTGGGTCAGCCCCTGGGGACAGTGCCAAATTTGCTTCACCATTTTCATTCGGTTGCTTGATGTTTCTGATCTTAACTCTAATTGTTTGACCTTACTTTTTATTCTTGTGGTTTCCCGTAGAGGGAGACAGTTGATACTTGTCAATTTTATACACATTCGGAATGGTATTAATTTGTTTGTGCGAAATCAACAAGCATATGAAATCGTTGATAAGTAATAATGTGATGATTTAAGAGTATCGTCCCATGAG